AAAGCATAAATTTAGTTGGTACACAATTATAAACTTTTACATAATTTGACATGTGATTTTCTTTTAAAATTGAAAAATGAAAAGTAAAGAATAATCTTCTTCCGCGTTCTAGAACACGAAGAATTTAACATTTTATTTGTACGAACTACTATAAATATGTGAACCAATGTAGATATGTTGCAGTTTGTTAGAAAATACTTACTATAAATATATGAAATATATCAACATATTTCAGTCATATGGTACATTGATATATACACAAAATTTCATGTGTTTAAGAATATCACTAGACACCAATGGTCACCAAATGTTTTTTTCTTTTTTGTATATTTTTCAAAACTGAATTATGGTTATATGGTTTAAATATGTTTGTGAACATATATGTTATTCAAAACCGAATTAGGATTGAATTTGCCATTTCTCGCATATTAAAATGATATCATTATCTTTTCTTTTATGTTATTCCGACTTCTTTCTCTTTTCATTTTTCATACGTCATTAAATATTCTTCCATGCACAATTATAAAGCACATTGTCTTTACTTTTTTCCTAATGTAATTATAATTCCTTTCTTTTCTCTTTTTATTGTTTGACATAAATTCCTTTCTTTTTCATACATGAGTGTGGATGTGCAACTTTGAGTCATATTCAGATGAATAACACCTAAGTTAAGCAAGATTTGTAAACGAATCTTAAACTATTGGATATATGATGGTTGATATGTAAATAACTATTTTAATACTTACTTAATATGACACCCTAATACATATATTACTATTGTTGTTTTTAGTAACCAGTTATACTCGCCGGATGGCCTTACTCATAAGATAATGATCTACATCTTCTCCGTTACCTTTAAGAGTATAGTTCAAAATGACTTATTGTCCCTCCTATTGACCATGACAGAACATGGAGTATTCAGTTTTCCGTCACCCACCTCTCAGGCCTTCTGCCTCAACTTAACTGTCAAGATACATGCGATATGCTATATCTTATTCAGTCAAATAAACATCCATTCATCACCACATGCCATATCACATTCATCATCTCAAACTCAAAGAATTCATACATCACAACATAAGGACCATCACCCAGCCTCTTGATAGCTCAATGTTTAAACATGTATGCATCAAATATCACATCATACTGGCATTACCATGTAACCCTTGTCCCAACATAGCAAAACATCATATCATCCAATCTTAAATCATTGTATAAAACACCATCGAAAATCATCATCATCGACATGCACATTTCATATATCACATCATAGAAAGGCATCACTTAACCACATCATAAGTAATATTTATACAAGGATTCAATCACATGCATGGTTAGGTTCATTGCATTTTACATCTTAATTTGCCAAGTCATACATTCCTCGGGTAGTATAGTAGATGTCATGCATAACACCACAGATCGTACCTAGACTGGTGTCCTATAAATCCACTGCGGGTCATACCCTAACCGATGTCATGTATACCAGGGTGGGATGTACCCGGACCGGTGTCCTATAAAATCAACGCAGGATCATATCATGACGATGTCCTGTAAATTCAGTTACTATACTGACTGCACAACATAGCGCCTTTATGTTTGTATTAAGTCACACAATTCCAGTTACAGTCAGTCACATATTTAATATTGGATGATAATGTGAAGTGAAGACAAAGTGTCTCAATTACTAACATTTGCTTTGATATCATTCGTCCCATGTTGAAGGTAAGAAGCATAGCGGAATAGTTTTGTTGTACTTTGATATAATGGTGGAAAAGGCTAGCGTACACTCGAGGTGTAATATGCACCTGCATTCATACCTATTATTTGTATGTTAATATATTTTGACAAATAAGAATCTGTGGTTATTATTTTTCATTAAATGAATCATACGATTTGGATTAGAGAATTAGAGACCGTGGTTCACCTATTAGAGAATATGGTATAGCATCATGTGCCAAACTTCCTTAATGCATGATCTAAATACCAACTCTATAGGAGTTCGGTAAGGTGGCGTACACGAGCTTAAACCATGTACAACTTATGAAGTTGACAATTGTTGGTCCAAGCGGTGATGAAGTTACAGCGTTGTTTGACTTTATTGTTGATCATCATTAAAACATAGAGTAAATGTAGCACCCCTCATATCAGATAAGTCAGTGATAATAGGTAACAATAATAAATAATTATGAAAATTAGGAATCTGATACCATTGAAAAAAATAAAAAATAATAGAAGGAAAAGTATAAACAAATAACACTCGCCGTCCATCGAGCGGGCACAAAACTAGTCTAAAAGTAAAGTAAAACAAAAAAGTAACGCAAACCATATAATTTGGTAGATGCTGCATTAGTGCTCCTTAAACTTAATCCCGTATCCCAATTGGGGGGAAAAAGGAAATAACGGAAACTTTTATTCCGGTTCCGTTCCCATCTTCTTCTCGCTTCAGTTCATAATTAAAAGTCCAAAAACTAATTTGGACACAATCAATAGACGTCACGTGGGCAGGCAGCAGCTACACGCTGAAACCTGGATTGCAGTAAGGGGTGGTTTGCTTGTTAGATTTGAAAAATGAGGGTTTTGGTCAACAAAAATTTTGGGATTTATATTGGATTTATTGGATTATGGATTTGAAGAGTCTAATGTTTGCATGATAGATTTGATGATGGATTTGTTAAATAAATAACTAACCATCAAGGATTTGCAAATCCCAAATCAATATGTGGGATTTACAAGTCAGTGGGGTCCACGGCCAAATCCGTGGACCCCACGGATTTAACATTCTTCAACAAACAATGGACTTATGTTAAATCCATTAATCTTGAAATTTAAATATCAAATCCATAATCCAAATCCATCAAGCAAACGACCCCTAAATTTTTCCCAGAAAAGTGTAAGGAATTTCAGTTTGGGAAATGTGGGGATGGCCGCCACCTGTAGCATGAAAAACCAGGGGGGAAGCTGGAAAAAACCAGCGGCAAGAGATGGTCAGCTTCAGCTAGGCTTGAAATCAACATTTTCTAATGACGTTGGGTTGTAGTGGGCCGACAGTAGCATTTTAATTTATTCTTATTCAGGCACAATCAGCAATAGGTTTGCGTTGCCATTACGTGATATGTGTGCATTCTCATTCTTCATGAAAATCAAGGGGAAAAATTGTGGCTTCAAAAGTGGGAAGTAATCATGGGTCACTGCAGTATATAAGAAAAGTAGTATGTATAATCATAAGAAAGGCAAATTACTTAATGAATAATTTAAGTAATCCGTTAAGGAATGTACTATCTTTAATCATAGTCTACTCTTAATTATAATATCCTCAATGATACTCTCATATGGGGATCGGTTAGCATGCTAACTCTTCTAAGGGGTTGGAAAAATTACACTTCTATTAATTATAGTTATTTTTTGTATTAAATTCGTGTTGCATTTAATAATCTTTGAAAATTAAAAAATCCATCTTAATTACATTCTTTTTTTAACTACCATTACACTGATACAACTACCATTGCGCATGTATACTAAACTCATATTAATTACGCTCCTTTTTTGGAACTACCATTGCACATGTACACTAATACCATTGCACTGATACAACTACCAGTGCACTGAAAAAAGAAAGTAATTAATATGTATTTTTAATTCATACAGATTATTAAATGCACCACAAATTAATTATCTTAAAAACCTATAATTAATAGGGGTGTCATTTTTCCAACCCTTTTAAGAGTAGGCATGCTATCTCATCCCTATCAGATGAAACAAATATGGCAGTGCTATTAGTAGCTGTAACCTAAACTGGAAACACAGATGTAATTTTCAAAGGGTTTGAAATTTTTTATAAAAAAAAAGCACACCAGGGAATCAAATAATACAGGGGGGAAAAGTTTCGCCAACAGAAGTGCGAACATAAACAGACCCTCAAGGGCCATATTCAAAGTCTAAATTGTTGAGAAAAACATTATCAATCATAACCCTGCCAACACATATGGAAAGTCTAAACAAACCCATAGCATACTTAAAAGTTGTGGAATCATCTATGGAACCACACTGACACTGGTAGTGCAAGACAGCCAATAAGGTGCACTATCAATTTCTCACTAACGGGTCATTTGCTTCTTGGATTTGAAAAATGAGAGTTTTGGTAAAACTTGGGTTTTGGAAAACCATGGATATATGATGGATTTGATGACATTATGGATTTGACCAAGTCTATTGTTTGCTTGTTGGATTTGATTATAGATTTTGTTTGAATAGATTTGTGGATATAAAATTCAAATTACCTTGTTACCCTTATCTTATCTAATTATATTTCTATATTATAATCCATAAATTTCATTAAAAAAATCCAACGCATACAATGAAATTTTAAACTCTTTACCACTATGTGGACTAATAATTCAACTACAAATATAGAAATATATTATAGTTTGGCACTAATTAACAACTCATCTAATAATGTACGCAATATTATGTATCAATTGCAACCAATTGCTCGCTTTATTGCTACAACTCATCAACTTCTTGCTAACTCCCCGATTTTGGAATCCGACAATCAATCAAATAATAATGCACAAGATGAGCATAAGATGTTTATAGTTGAATCTAACAAATCACATATACATTCATATTTAAATAAACTATGATATTACAAAACGAAATGAAAAATTCTCATATATATAAAATACGACATTATAAAAGTTTATAATTGCATGACCATTGATTTAAAGTAGGACAACTTTGTAATTAAAGTAATAAGTAAGGGTAGAAAGGTAATTTACCATCATGGATTTTAATCCATCACCCAAATCCCACCTCAAGAGGTGGAACTTCCAAGTCCGTGGGGTCCACGGATTTGGAACCCCAAAAGTAGCGGGACCCACAAATTCCATCTCCCTAATTCCATAAGGCAAACGATGGATTTCCGTTAAAGTCCATGATGGATAGATTTCCATGACCAAATCCATCATCAAAACCCTCAAGCAAACGACCCGTAAGTCACGCCTATGCAGCTTTCTCTTCGGTTTGTTCTCTAGGGTTGGGGCAACTTCTCCTTCTCAATAAGGTGCACAAAGATGATCCATCTTTGTGTATTTCGGAATATTTTCCCTGAAAAATAAATAATGGAAAGGAAACCGATTATTAAGTGAAGCCACGATCAACAGTGGGCTGTAAAGATAACTCTAAAACATTCTAGCTCAACTGATAGCGGAAAATGATTTTGAAACCTTTAGAAATAGTAAAATTCAATGAAAGCACTCAAACCAAAAAGTAAGCAAGCACTCAAACCATTAAAGTAGACCAAACACATAGTAATTAGTCCAAGGTTCAAACAAAGTAGGAGATATGGACGCATTAGTGTCTTTGGAATGCAACTGTGTTCTGTCCATAAGAGAGAGGAAATATGAAAGGAACATTAATATTTAAGTAACAAAGTAGGAGATATGTAAATAGGAAAATTCAATACAAAGTCGTAGCATTGGTATAAGTACACTAACCTGTGTTGTCAGATCTTTAATCTTAATCCCCAACCCTCCGACCTTCTCCCTTCATTCTCCTTCCTTGCTTCTATTTCAGGGAGACGGTGGCAGTGAAGAGCTGTGGAGGGAGTCGGTAGAGAAGGGGGCGAACAGTTGCATCAGAGAAGTCGGCGGTCAATTGGCAGAAGATGAAGCAAGGGGGAAAACACGATCTGAAGAAAAAGAATGGGAAGACGTAATTAATTTCACCGAAATCCCTAACCCAAAGCAAGGGCGACGAACACGATGAAATCGATCAGTGGGTCTTCGTCTCTCTCTAACCTCGCAGAAATGCTCCATATCGGCGCCGATTATTGTATTCCGGGCGAGGACTTCTGCCTGCGACGATTGTGATGATTTTTGGGCTTTCTACTTCAGCGGGCGGCGTCGAACGGTAATTATAATAATCATGAGTACTGTTAGAACTATGTGGGAGCGGTGATGTGGAGATGGCGGAGTCCCCTGCGGCTGCGGTGGTTGGGGAGGAGGAAGAGGCGTTGACGGCGCTGACTTTGTCGTCGTCTGGGATGGGGAGCGGTGGTTCGAGTATGGGGATGGTGATGGGTAATGCGGTGGCAGTCGCAGAGGTCGGAGGAGAGAGAATTGATAGGATAAATATCTCTTATAATTAGTGTTGACTGTTGACTATTTCTCCACTATTTGTATTCTGTTGATGATATTCAGCAGTTAGTTGCACGCACTTCTGCTTAGGATTAGCTCTTTCTGTTTACCTATTGTATCCAGTACCCTGTATAAATCCCTTTCATCAATAATAAATCAGATGAGATTTTCGGCTCCATTTCATGGTATCAGAGCCTCACTAGACTCTAACGAGTTTTTTCTTTTCTTCTCTGATGTCTTCATTTTCTTTTTCTTCTACTTCTTCCTAGTACAATGTCGACAGTTTCCTCACACTCTTCTTCTTCTACTACTTTTGTCTCCTCTGCCTCTACTATTCCTCTGTCTCCCCCGTCCAATCCTTAATTGACCGTCAAGCTGACGTCAACAAATTACCTCTAATGGAAGACTCAACTTCTGCCACTTCTCCGCTATCACAGGCTGATTGGTCATATTGATGGCACAGTGCAGCCTCCGCCGGCAACCATCGATTCCCAACCGAATCCAGCTTATGTTGAGTTGTATGAAAGAGATCAGCTGGTTTTTATTTGGATAACATTTTCTTTATCTGGAGCAATGATGCCTAATATTGTCAACAAATTCACTGCTCGTGATGCCTGGGAATCTCTCGCCCAAGTCTATGGATCTGCTTCGCCGGTGATTATTCGTAGCTCCGTGGCTCCCTCAGTCGTTTGACTCGTGGCTCTGAATCTGCTCATGAATTTCTGCAGTGTGCCAAGGAGATTTCCGACAAGCTTGCGGCTCTTGGTGACCCTATCAAGGAGTCCGAGCTTGTTGGCGCTATCATTGATGGTCTTCGTGAGGTTTACCGTCCCTTCACCCGGAATCTGGAAGCCAAACTTGAGCCTATTTCATTTGATAATCTCAACAGTCTTCTCCTGAGCGAAGCTATGCAACTTAAGCGCTATCAGTCGGGTGCCGGTGAGCTGGCTTCTCCGTAGGCGTTCTACTCTGGTGGTGGTTATTGCGGCAGGGTGTACTTGGAAAAAGATATTTCTACCCCGGGGTATAGTTAAAAATCTCAAATAACACAAGTTTAAATAAAATACCAAACTCAAATATCTCAAATCGAAGCCCTAAACATGTGGGCAAAACTCAAACTGTCCAAAGGAAATGAATCTCCAATCTTTAGCTCTTAACCATAAAGTCTTAATAACTTAAAAAGTTCTTCGATGCTTACACTGACGTCTGGCTCGACATCTCTCAACGACGATGGTGTTGAGCTCCTCTAGCTTGCTGATCACGGACTGGCTGGTTAGGATTTCCTCCTCTACGATCTGGTGAGTGAGTTCGGGTCAGTCTACGCCCTTACAATAAGATCTATAGTACTTTAGTATTCTTCTCTAAACACTTAACTTCTATTAGTGGAAGTTGTTTTGTACTTCCACTCTTAACACTTATAAACTCATAAAATTCTCCGGGAGTTAAAGTTACTCTCCCTTCTTAAAGCTTAAAAACTTGACTTAAATCTTTTGACTGACACGGGGATCCCTCACTAGCTAGTCCGGTTGCCAACTCATACGTATGAGAAGCCATTCAGGCTTTCCTTAAACTTAAACTTAGTTAGGGAAGTCGTAATGATTCATCCCCCTAACATCTTAAACTTATCGTGGTGGCTCTTCACCATGATTCTCAAGGGCATAACTGCTGCCCATCTTAAAAATCTCAAGAGCATAACTGCTGCTCTATCTCAACTGTCTCAAAAGGCAACGGACTGGCGCTAGTGACTAAAAACACTTAAAACGACTTCACCTTCTTGAAGGTGAGTTACTTCTTAAAAAAGGACTTGCTTCTTAACTTTAACGATAACTTATAAACTTAAAGCTTAAATTTAAATAAGAACTCATGCACATTCACATCAAGCATAGCTCAACACAATCACATATCATCAATCATAAGCACAATCAAACAACGACATTCACTTCATCAAAAAATACTCAAAACTTGTAACTCTTGAAAGAACACGTAAGGCGTAGAATTTACCCCCTTTACACTCACCTTAAAAAGCTGACTCCACGATTCTTTACTCGAAGAATCCCCCCAACCCGAATTATCTCGGTGAACCTATGAATAAGAAAGTCATCTCCTTAGTCGACCTTTCTCGCTTTAGAAACCCCTTTTGGGTCACTCGAACATCCTCTCCTCAACATCCAGCCCTAGAGACTCACTCCCAAGGTCTCTTAATCCCCGTTAAAAATTTTCTAAAAACCGTCCCTTCAAAACCGACCACTTTTCCTAATTATTTTAGTCTGGAACGAATTTTTCACCTAACTTGAACCTTCTTAAAAATTCAGATCATAATTTTCCTACATCAATCATGGGTACTTATACCCTGGAAAATTATCAAACCCTTATAAAATTCTCGGAATTATTTTTATTTAATTAAAACAAATGTTCGAAGAATTTCAAAAATTATAAATATATCTTCAAAAATTCCCAAATTAATTTACAGCCATCTCCTAGCCCTGCCTCAATTTATAAAAATTTTAAACGCAAGAACAAACCCTCTCAAAGACTCGAAACAATTTAAACCATCCAAAACTAATTTTTTCTGAAAATTCCCAGCAACTTTAGTGACCACCCAAACCCTGTCATTAAAAGCCTGATCGCCTGTTGCTAAAATCACAGAATTGCACCCTCAAGAAAAACACCAAATCGATCGATCTAACTCAAAGGAATCGAGTTCCCTTACCTCTAGAACGTGCCTAGGCCTAGATTAGCTGATCCGGGACGTTGATCTCCTCGTTGATCGAACCCTCAACGTCACCGCTAATAAAAACCGAGCTTCGAATTAATCTAACGATAAATTGCGTATAGAAATCACGAAAGGGGGTTCGTGATCCTTACCTAGAACACGAAAGGAATGGGATCGAGATCGGTTGTCGACTCGCGCGGCTGGGGAACTTGCGACGGTTCCTTTTCTTTTCTCCCCGGGCGATTTTTGGCGAGGGCGGCGGCAGGGGTTTATTTGCTTCTCTGATGGGGTCGGTTTGGGGGAATGGGAAAAAAAGAATATAAAGGGGTCGGGGGGATTTTGAGGGTTTTGCTGTGGTCTTGGAATTAATTGGAGGGGGCTCGGCCCCCCAGGCCGATACACTTTTTTTTTATATAATAATAATAATAATTATTACTATCAATCCGCGATTGCAACCTATAGTACGCAACTGCCAACCCAATCGATCACGTATTATGGTCGAACCATAACTCAAAATTCAGGGTGTCACATTTCCTCCATCCTTATAAAAAATTTCGTCCCCGAAATTTGAACGGTAGAGCAATCACTTGAACGATTTAACGGTGAATTCGAAGGAGCGGTGCTATTTGGGATATAACATTTTCCCTCCCCCTTAAGAAATTTCGACCTCGAAATTGCAGGTTGAACTAGGTTGCTAGCAATCGTAAATCCGGCCCAAACCACCAGGTCTTATTATTAAAATAAATCGAGAAATGGGAACTAAAAAAGAGTACTAAAAGCGAGAGTACACAGAAGTTCACCCACCAACGATCTAAACACCAACAAACAACTCTGGGTACTTCTCTCTCATGCTACTCTCTGTCTCCCAAGTCGCAGCCTCGCTGCCCTGGTTTCTCCATACCACCTTTACCATGGCAATCTTCTTCCTCCTCAACTCCTTCTCCTGCCTATCCACAATCTGGATTGGAACCTCCTCATAGGTCAAATCATCTTCCAACTTGATGTCCTCGTGATGGATCACATGCTCCGGGTTGGATCGATCCGCCCTTAGCATGCTGACGTGAAAAACATCGTGGATCCTAGATAGGCTGGGAGGTAAGGCTAATCGATAGGCTAAGGGTCCAATGCGCTCTAACACCTCATATGGGCCGATATATCTCGGACTAAGCTTTCCCTTCTTACCAAATCTCATCACTCTCTTCCAAGGGGACACCCTTTGGAATACCATGTCACCCACTTCATAACTTCGCGGGTTCCCTGGCCTCTCCGCATTACTCTTCTGGCGGTCCTGAGCTGCTTTCAAGTTCCGGCGAATCACCTCGACTTTCTCCACTGCCTTCTGTACCATCTCCGGACCCTCTATCTGTCGCACGCCCTCTGCATCCCAGTACAATGGTGTACGACACTTCCTTCCATACAATACCTCATATGGAGCTGCTTGTATCAAGCTGTGATACTGGTTGTTGTAAGCAAACTCCATTAAAGGCAAATGCTCGTCCCAAGCTCCTTCCATGGTCAAGACACACGCCCTCAACAGGTCTTCCAGTGTCTAAATCGTCCTCTCTGACTGCCCATCCATCTGAGGGTGGTAGGCGGTAGAGAAGTGAACTTTAGTGCCCATTGCCCTTTGAAGACTCACCCAGAATCGTGCAGTGAAGCTAGGGTCGCGATCAGACACGATACTAAGTGGAACTCCATGCAATCTCACTATCTCCCTCACATACAGCCTGGCCAGCTCCTCCAGCCCTGGCTTGAACTTGATGGGTATAAAATGAGCCACCTTTGAGAAGCGATCCACAATCACCCATACTCCATCATTTCCCCTTGGGGTTCTCGGTAAACCATACACGAAATCCATGGTGATCTTCTCCCAAGTCCACTGCGGGATCTCCAACGGTAGGTGCTCAATGACTGGAGCTTGATGTTCAGCCTTGATCATTTGGCACTCCAAGCATTGATAGACATGTGTAGCTACCTCCTTCTTCAATCCTGGCCACCAGAAATGCTCCTTGAGGGTACGATACATCTTAGTAGCCCCAGGGTGCATTGCATAGGGTGCAGAGTGAGCTTCATCCATGATATCCTTCCTTAGCTTGTCGACATCCGGGATGCACAGCCTTCCTTTATACATTAGTACCCCATCTACCAATTCAAATTTGGTGTCCTTCCCTTCTAACACTTGCTTCTTGTACTTCTCTAATTCCAAATCTTCACTCTGCTTCTCCTTG